ATCATAGTACCACAAGTATCACGGTGTTCTTGAACTTTCTGAAAATTAATTTCAATATATTAAAATAAACATGATTTCAACAGTATACATATATACATGTATGTTCTATTATACCAGTATAAAACCTTTGTCTTAATAGTTTATTGACAGAATGTTTACATAAATGCATGTGTTTTTGTATGAATTTTCTAATCAGTCGAAAAAGACTCTCATAAACAGCTCTAAAAATTACCGGTATTACTATAAACCGTAAAACTGGCAACATCACATGTTTTTATAATTAGATTTTGAAGGAATAATCATGCATTAACCCATTACTGTTATATCAATTAAAACGTGTACTTGGCCTCAACTGGTATGATTAACCCATATCTACCACTTTGTTTCACATCAACAACTGAGATTTTGAAAATTAATTTCTTTAAAGGAATAATCCAATAAAGTTAGAATGCCATGGTTGGTGAACGGTGATGCGTGCATGATGAAAATATTTGATGTGAGCTCATTGGGGAAGTGGATAAATGAGCGCCACGAATAATCAGTAGAATATATGAGCAAATCAGTACGACAGCTATTACGAAAGTCATACTGTGTAGAGTAAACTTCTGTAACAGCTAGTAAATGGTATGCACATTATAAGGGTATGCATAACACTAAAAGTATTAAGTATAGCCATCCAACTAGTAGTGACGGCAGGTCATACAAAGAATATACTGCAATAGAGACAGGTTAGGATCTTACAAGAATTATAATCGTGAAATCGATCTGCACTTCAAATTTTTGTTGTCAAACTTGAATATAAATCTAGTAATTGTCATTAATTCGTGGCAAAATATTATTTTACAACTATTTACCAAACTATTCTTTCCTCTGGAACAATTTACCAAACTATTCTTTTTTTAGCCCCGATGTCACCGCAGATGACCCAGCGTAGCTGTTGGTATGGGTGTCTCTCTGGCATCCCGCGTCCAGCGTGAAGTATTCCTTTAAGCGACTTCTTCTTCAAAAGTACTTGACCAATTACATTCATATTTGTACCAAAAGTACTTGGGGTGGTTCTCTGTCAGATTTTTTAAATTTGTGTCAAAATATGCACATTTGGATTTTTAGTGAATATTTTTGTCATTTTTGGTAAAAAATGTTATTTTCGACAACTAGTCCGAAATCGTAAGTCCAAATGTGTTCTGCGATGACAGCGGAGCTAAAAAGTGGGCGGGACACACACGATAGGCAAAATAAAAGGGACTAGTAGTGGTCAACACTACTAGTAAAATAAAACTTAGCTTTAAAAAGGATGAACACAACGTTTCAAATGGGCAAGCCATTTTTTCTTCAGGTGAATGATTAAAAATTCCCCAATATTACATAAAATTTCTACGTCAAAATGTCCACCAATATCAATATCATGATTTTTATTTTCAATTTGAAAGTCACCTTGACTCTCTGTGTCATACTAAAAACACCAGTGAAAAAAATCACTAATTATGAATCAAATTAAAATAAAATCCAGTAAAATATTCAAATAATTTTATGCTTTTATATTGTTTTCTTGTTAATATATCCATACAAAACCAAATTCACTAAAATTAAACCCAATTAATATATCTGTGTCACAGTTCAATAATAGCGGTATATTTCTGTCATGAAATTTGTTTGCACAATTCATGATGTCAATTAATTTTCAGCTCAAAACCAAAATTCATGTATATTACAGCCACATTTCCCTTACTGTCATTTCACTGTGCCATATGTGAAATGCATAATTCTTTACGCCATGAGATGACCTTGACTCTTTAAAAGTTCTTTGACTAGCAAGTCATCTATTTGGAGGGTGAAAGTTAATTGTGTGCATAGACTTACAAATTGACATGAGTAAAACATTGTACACATGATACAAATAAAGCACAAAGTACATGAAGGTGCATATAAATGCATCCAGTTTATAGGTTTGTACTTTGTTTTAAGTGCAGTGGTTAACAAGACTGCAATGTAATCGATATGAGTCCCATACTACCGATAGAAAAATATGTGGGTCAAATATTTCCCTGTTGACATAGAGTTAGAAGGCCTTCAAACATACACATTTGTGTTAAATACTGCTCCCTAATATGATTGACATTAGAATTGATGAGATAGTAATGCATATCAATCTACCACAGAGTTCAGTTTCACACAGTACAAATGTCATGTTCCATATGACGGATGTTAAAATTTTGAAGAATTGAGCAGACATATTTAATTTATTCCATTGATGAAAAGTATATGAGACATTAGAGAATATAGGGGCTGCCGATTGTGACAAACATCCATGGGAATAGAATGACGCTGCATGCAACCTTCCTTGTCGTATTCACGCATCCAATATCACATAGTTTGGCAGCACATGTACTGTCCAACTTGTCAGTACGACTTGTGAAGGAAATGGCTGTGGTTCTTGTGGTTATATTTGGAATTATTATGAATAAATTTTCATATTAACATATTTTGTAAAAATTTGCATACCTGTAACAACAAATTTTGTGCTACATCGTCTTTGATTTTGTTTTCCTCTCTGAGTTTATTAATCAGATTACACGCCCATCCACACGGCATCCAGTGCTTGACATGGGGGGTTGGTAAGGCTTCATATTCTTTACGCTCTTCTTTGGTCATCAAACCTAGAAATCAAACAATAAACACTAAGTCAGCCATTTTATGAAAATCATCTCTATAAAGCACACTTGCAATTGAATGTCCAGTTTTGCTGCAAACATTTGTGCACTTTAACTAATGACAATATCACGTTTGTGTGTTATATAATACTTGAAGATATATTTTTATTGGGAACTACATGTATTACAAAAAAGAATTTTTTTATTGCCCTCAAATTTGACCAATGTATTGTTAATGCAAATGTTCAGCCAATTTCTAGTGAATAACAATAAATTCTCCAAAATTTGCAAATCTCTCAGGCAATGAAGGTAAAAACATTTTGACATGTTCATTTTTTTCTAAAAGCATCATTAAGAATATACTCTCAGACCGTATCGCAGTTCCATATGATAGTGCATTGTGGGATATTTATGTTGGTTGCACAAGCTGACACACTTTGTGATTGATGAGTTTATGGCCTTTGATAGTGTCAAACAATTAAAGTGTCAATTAAAGAACTAAAGATATCATTAGAAAATGAACAATATGTATTGTATCAAAGCAATCAGACTCTTGCGGTTTTTAACAAGAATTCGAAAATATCACATTTTACCAAAAATAATTATTAAAGTTAGATAATTAAAGATATCATCACGAAATGAACAAATCTGAAAGAGGTTTACCTGAGGTACCTATTTGTATAGTATCAAAGCAATCAGACTTGCGGTTTTTAACGAGATGTCGACAATATCACTTTTTACCAAATAAGGCAAGAATAATCAATGAAATTAGAGAACTGAAAATATCATCATTAACTGAAGAAACATCTGAGAGAGGTATACCTGTAGTACCCATTATATATAATTATATATAATAACAAAGCAATCAGACTTAATATCACTTTTTACCAAAGATTATAAAAATATTCATCAAAATTAGAAAATTGAAGATATCATCACAAAATGAACAAATCAGAGAGAGGTCCACATGTAGTACCTATATATGTAATACCAAAGCAATCGGACTTGCGGTTTTTAACAAGAAGTCGAAAATATCACTTTTTACCAAAAATGACAAAAATATTCACCAAATTTAGAGAATTGAAGATAGCAACATGAAATGAACAAACCTAAGAGAGGTCTACCCAAGGTACATATACACCAAGTATCAAAGCATTCAGGCTTGTGGTTTTCAAGAAGAAGTCGAAAAAGTAAAACATTGACACGGACGACGACGGACGACGGATGACGGACGAGGACGGACAATCACTCGTATGATAAGCTCCGCTCGACAAAGTCGACAGCGGAGCTAAAAATACTGCAGTAATCACAGACAGTGTACCCAGCAATTGCTGCATACAGCTATACCTGGTTTACATGTAAGGATTTCTTCTAGAAATATTCCAACATCACTATATGTTCAGCTGGTTGATGTATTATTGCTGTTCTCTATTAAATTTGAAATACACACTACATTCTATTGATGACTTGAATTGTTTCTGTGATAAATATAGATATTGTTCACAGACCCCTTTTTAGTCTCTACAGCAAAGACTCCTATATGTCTGGCATTCAACACACGGTAATCCACAGACCCCTTTGAAATATATATATATTTCCCTATAATTAAATTCAATGAAGAACTTAATTTTTCCGAGATAAATACACAATGGTTCAGGCAGACTTCTTGAAAATAAGCACGATTCCCCGTTAAGTCAATTCAATTAAGGTAGAGATGCAGGTTGGGGACTATATTTCTAATTGGCTCTGATTACAGTAATTACACGAGTAAAATATACTTTTTACCCATCAAGTTATATATCATTTGAAAGAGTTTTATTTAAACTTTCGAGTTTTATGGTTTACAATAATGTGCTATGATACCATATTAAGTGGTGTTGATTTTGGGTTAAAATCATGCATTTTAGGTGAAAGTGCACTTAAAACTATTTAACTTTTGAATGCATACTCTGATTTTGATTTAAACACACTTATTTAAAACTTCTGTTTACTAGGAGCATAATGGCTTATTTATTAGTGTTTCCCTTGAATAGTTTTTACACAGTGCTCTTTGAAACATTCACATTTTATAAATCGTTAACAGAGCCGCTAATTGGCCGCTCTATTGTTTCTGTTCCAGTGAAGACAGTGAAACCATACGAAGCCATTTACTTAGGATAGACCTGAATAATGACCTCTGAAAATTTCATTGAAAACAAATGAACAAATGATGTCAAATCGTCAGGTGAAAAAATAAAATAAAAACATTTACAGTTCGAAGGAAACGGACGAAAAATTATCGGCGAAGTCTCAACATTGCGTAAAAACTGTCATGTCGTCATGCTATCAATTCTACTGAGGGAGGGACACAATAGATTACGTAAAGCCGATGAGATATTCATACAGTTATATAAACATAGCGATCGCCTTTGGGTGGGTTGAGTCTAAATTTACCTTCCCTCAAACCTTTAAAAAAATACTTTGTATGACGCAGTTTCCATGGACCGTGCGAAGTTAGACGACCAGGTTGAAATGGGCCCTAATATTTTACTACACAGCGGCTATTCACAGTTTTTACTACTCAATCACCCAAATGCCGGTGAAACAAATTCGAAATGAAGTCACATTGGAAGGCGAACTCTTGTAAATCGAGGCAGGTTTCATTCAACTACAGACGAGACATCGCTACCGGTGCATGCTAGCTGACAAGGGGGTTTCCGATTAAGATAACCAAGATGGCAACGCAGAGTGCATGATTTTTCCGCGGTGTTTAAAAACAGCATCTCATTGCCGATTTTTCGGTAATTTCCAGGTTATTTTTTTTTTAATTAACCGAGCATTTTACGTTTGTGTATTTTGACACTGAAAGGTTACAGATGACAGCAACAGCTGTGTTGTTTGTCCATTGCATCGCAATTCTATCAGAACGATAATCGTTACAGCGAAACGAAAAATGTTTACTTCAGTGTTAAAATGCCGTTGGAGTAAAAATGTGTGGAATTTTTTTTTTTTAGTTTCGCCCACAATGCAAAAAAGCTTGAAATCTATGCACCAAGAAAACAAAAGAAATAGGTGATTTTCCGTACAATTGCGAGATGTATGAAAGACGCGCGTCGAACGTCTGCCGCAAAAGTCGAACGATTTGATTTTGAACTAGACTTTCTTTATTTCGTAACTCACATCGACCGGCCGATCTTCGACAGAGGAATATCGCTTCCGAATACCCTTACTTAATCGAAATTGCTTATCATGAAATGTGGACAGCACATTATTATGCATGGAAATACTTCGCGTTTGTCGAATCCCACGCGATGTTTGACGCCACTACGACCTTTGTTTGTTCTGTTTTTACGTTCGATTTCACGCATAACGCGTGATTCTCGCAGTGAACGGAAAATGGTCTATTGTGGCCTTGTTTTGCGCGAAAATTAAATCGCACTATCGACGCTACCTCCTACACGAAAATAAATGAAAAATTAATTTATTTAAGGGTGAAAAAGTTTACTTATCAGTTACAAGTGTATGTTTTGTTTCATTCCGCTTGCATGCTGGAAGCGTCTATGTCTTGTCTGTTTTTGCAGTTTGCTAGTTGATCACGCTTGAAGTAAGTAAACAGAGAGCCAGGACATGAAGTCGCACACCGGCTGCTCCGTAACTGAGTGCCAGCAATCATTTGCATATAACATCAACAGTGACTTGTCAATCAAAGAGCAACGCAAACAAACTTTCGGGACTTTTAATCACATACGCGTGCCTCGCTTCCCTATATTTTAAAATTGATTTTTGAGTATGTTCCAACAATGACAATACTCAGAAATTTTAACATTATCTAGCCAAGACTGTGTAGGTAAGAACAAGCAAAAAAAATCACTCTGAGTGCCCACGAACCTGCATCTCTACCATAATAGAATGTCAATGACAACTGAATGTCAATTTCCGGTTACACTTTCTGACGTAGTTAAAATTTAATTTATTCAAATCAATCCTTGTTAGTCAAAATTACTTATCTTGCTCTTCGACTGCCACAGTGTCCACCTTGTTTCTCCTACCAGAACAAATTAACCTTGGGAAAGTACTACAGTTCTGTTCTAGTTTTTTCGTTGTCAAAGTGACCTTTTCTCTGGTTAAGAAAATCGTTTTATCTCAATGTGATTGCATATTCTATGTTCCGCTTAGTCCGTTTTATATACAGTACATTAGGTCGTATGACTATAAGTCGAACACATATTCGTCTATATAAGGCACACGACGTAGCGATGACGCAATTTCATTCAGCAGCGTGTTGGGAGTCGTCGATCTTTTAACAAGGCTAGCGATGAATACACATCAAAACAACACGCTACAAAGTACTCACAAGTCCGTCGATTTATTCCTTCAAACACAATATACTCTCTCCAGGTCGTTACGGCTCTCACACTACGTCTAAATAGCCATAAAACGATTTTCTGTTTCCTAACTTGCACAACACTGTCGATATCTAAGCAGCCATCTTATACACACAAACCTAAACCTCCAAGTTAAAGAAAACAAGCCATGCACGACACAGCCCCGTTAGTTATCGAATTTAAGATATATAGTTTTGTTTTTAGTAATATAGATGGAATATAAACATGTCAGGAATATGATTATGATGATTGTTTAACATTTAAATGATTGACATTTGTATCTGATCGTCAAACGAGTATTGGGAGATACTGCTCTGGAACAGCATTAATTAAAACAAAATCAGTCATTTTGAATACTTGTATAATGAATATATAAAATCTTAACATAGTCAGTCAAAGCATGTCAGAGATATGGCTCCAGAAGCCCATTCATTAAAACAAAATGGCCACTAGACAGCCATTCTGAATACGATCTAAAAAATAAAATAACGTGCAACAGGAACCCGTAATGTCTAATGTATGTACCAAGCTTGAACAAAATCCATCCATAAATGCCAGAAATGCTTGATATTTGAAGATTTTTTAGCACAAAAATGGCCACCATTCGGCCATATTTAATAGGATCGTCAAACCAATATATCTGTACATCTATGACATGGTGTATAATGAATATTTAAAATTTGAACATAATCCGACAGCAAGTCAGAGATATGGCACTAGATCCACATTCATTTAAACCAAATGGCCGCCAGTTGGCCATTTTGAATCTTATCTGAAAAACAAATGATATGCATTAAGGTCCTATAATGTCCAACGTATATACCAAGTTTGAACAAAATCCATCTGTAAACAGCCGAGAAATGCTTGATTTTTATGATTCTTTAGCACAAAAATGGCCACCATTCGGCCATTTTTAATAGGAACGTCAAACCAATATATCTGTTTATCTATGACATGATGTATAATGAATATTTAAAACTTGAACATAATAAGACAGCAAATCAGAGATATGGCACTAGAACCACATTTATTAAAACAAAATGGCCGCCAGTCGCCATTTTGAATCTTATCTGATAACAAAATGATGTGCATCAAGTTCCTATAATGTCCTACGTATATACTAAGTTTGAACAAAATCCATCTGTAAACAGTCGAGAAATGCTTGATTTTGATATTTACCACAGAAATGGCCGCCATTCGGCCATCTTGAATCAGATCGTGAAACAAATTGATGTGCATATGTATAATATAATGTATGGTGTATGTGTGAAGTTTGATTGTGATTGGTCCTGGCATTTCTAAGATACAGGTCCGCACGCACACGTACGGGGATCAAAACATAAGCCCCCGTTTTCAGACTGCGTCCGAACGGGGACTAATAAACATGACCCGACAGCTACGCTATGAGGTTCGATATGGCTCCTCTTCCCACACTGAATTCAAGCGAGAACAAGCTAAATTAAAGTTCTACATACGATTTGGCGTCTAAAAATTTATTGAATAAGTGACAGGTGTCTCTATTTTATTGCCCAAATTTGAAAAAAAAAACGTTTCAACTGTATAACAAGGTATGGCGGTAATACTTGATTGGTTACATTTTTACAATGTCATGAACTTCGTTGCAATGACTACACGAATATTCATGTATTGTTTCTTCACTAAAATAATCATTAAGGAAATGTGAAATAGAAACTGGTTCATTATTACTAGAATATGTGATAGGAAGTTGTGAAACAGTATGTCGGAACCACAATCGAACTGCGGAAACCATTGAGTTAGTTGATTGGCTACTTAGTAACAAGTAAGCCCAAACTTCCGGCCACACTGTATGTATACTTTCAACACACGCTTTATTCGGTAGTAGCTGTATAGTATTCGTATAGTCTGCATCGTAGAATAAAGTCTCTTCCCTCGACTTAATCGATCGTCTCCTTTATCCTATTATTCGATTCCCACACAGAAAATGGTTCAAGTCTAACATTCTGATATGCAGTGTTTTGATTTATATGTGTTATTATAGATACCCATAAATATACTTTGTAAAGTATGTACTGGAATATTATTACTGTTTACATCATATTGTTCTAATATATCAAATATAATCACAAGAAACTCATGGACATAATTTTCCACAAGAGGATTAAATAATTCTGTACTTTTAATGAATTTCCGTAACCATGCTGCACTATTAAAACTGTAGTTACCCAAATACATCTGGATTATAAATGATTCCCATTCACATAACAAACAAGACAGTGTTTTATTTTGTCTGCATTGATGGGTTTTTGATTTGGTAAGAATACATTCTTGCAAATGCTGAAGTATTTAATACTTGTATAATACCATTTTGATAACATGTAAGTCCAAGGTTTTGTAAACCAGCACCAGGGAGTCTATTTATAACATCTATCCAATCAGTACTCACAATATTCTTTTGATACAGGTGAAACTGATTTAGTAATTGCATTACATTTGAAGATATTTTACTTTGATTTGTTATTCTGTCTGCTCATTGATTGGTCCATAAAATTATCAACTTCATCGGTAACAACATCTAATTTTATATGATTATCTGACTGACTGAGGAAATATTTCACTATTTACTTTTTGGAATGACACTTATATTATTGTGCAAATTTAACTTATATTAGCAAATACTGTTCAGTTAACAACTACTATATATGCCAACTTATAATTATCTTATGTGACTTCATTAATAGGATATAACTGATTGTACAGTAATAACTTCAGAAAACTTACTGCACTGAAGAATACTGAATATGCTTTATAGCAACTTATACTATAATTATTATATGTGAACTCTAGTATATAACTTATTGTACATGCACAGTAGCAACTTTACAAAACTTATTGCACTTAGTTCGTAACTCACTGAACAATAAGGACTAGTACTGAGTTCAACTGCTTACAGTAGAATACTATCTTATAATGTTTAACAATTACATTTTAACTGAAAAAAGAATTACTACATGTCTCATTAATTATGCATGTAAAGTGCACCAATATTGAACTTGGTTACACCTTTGTTTATAACATAGATACATTTGAAACCGATCCGGTGAAAATTACTTGAGTTATTGCGCCCGCAAGAGATAACCAATCAGTAGCCTTCTCTCATTAATTATGCAAGCAAAATTCACCAACATCGAACTTGGCCATCGTTGCATGTTTGTTCATGCCATATATAAATTTGTAACCGATTGTGCAAAAATACTTGAGTTATCGCGCCCACAAGCGAAAAACAATCAGTCGTCATATCTCATTAATTATTCAAGTAAAATATACCATCATCGAACTTGGCCATCGTTGCATGTTTGTTTATAACATATATAAATTTGAAACCGATCATGTAAAAATTACTTGAGTTATCACACCCACAAATCACGCCAACAACAACGAAGACGCCAAAATATTTCCCTTACTATACCTTCCCTTCGTTTACACTACTCTACGGGGCAACACAATAACAAACAAATATTACCTGCTTCAACCAGATGGCCAATTGTTGGGAAGCGCTTCAACACCGGCATAGACACAGAAGTGAAAACTATGGCAGCTGTGAGATTCAACCAACGAACGAGGGTTCTTCGTTCGATGCGTGTGGCTTCGTTGGTTCCATGTACATGAGTTGAGATGAGCTGCGATATTGAATCTGTCCATGGCAATGCTTCGTACATGCTCCACCATCGACTAATCACCAGGCTGACGTAAAAACCGAGAATGAAACTGAGCGGTAGCTATGGCTGAGAAAATTCAAGAAATCTTTCATTTCTTTGTCAACTAACATGCCGGAAATCAAATTTACATATAATGCGTTTGAAGGTTGTCGCCATTTTATTCGACAGCTTTCCGCATCAGTGCCACACCACAGACAACTAAAACATTTCAACCTTTGTTGGGAAATTCATGTGCATTAAATTGCGTTTTTAAGTCGCGTACCATAAATTGCGTTTTAGAGTCCCTCAAGTGTGTTCCAAAGACTGCAGTCGTACCAGAGATAACCTGAAGATTGATTCGTTTGAAAAATGTTCCTCGTGAAATTCACGTTTAAAAACGTTTTTGACCTTTGTCACCTATACCCCCACCCGCGTGAATTACAGAACTAATATTTGTTCCCCGGGAATCTATAATCAAGTAATACAAATGATGTCACTATGCAATATTTTTGGTGTAACTTTACATTTACAAAACATTTAAGTATGTCCCATAAGGTTTCCCAATTTCTGCCTAAACATGTTTTCAACGAAAAAATCCAATAGGTAGGTAAAAAATACAACATATTTCACTACTATAAGTATATAAAACCTCATGGGCCCCGAAACCAGCAAGGACGGGAAATAAAATGTTGCATTATTGTTGCAATGTTTATTTATCCTTGACCATTCTTTCACCAGAAAGAATTACATCTCAAACGTTTGTTCCCCGGGAGTCTGTAATAAACTTAATTCACGTTCTAAATTCATAAAGGTGTGTGTCATTTGAGGCCTCACTGATCACTGCGTTTCCTGGAATCTATTGGGTCGCTATCGCCAACGTCAAAAGTCTCTCAGCCCTTGGTTATTATTATTGTTTTCGTCGCCGGGGGGGGGGGGGGGATTCACGTCCAAAATTTTGGTTCCTGGTCACCTCTAATAAACAACCTATCTAACAGCTTGCTTGAATTGATGATAAACAAACAATCATGGTAGATTGGCCCGACCTTCTCTCAATCGGAAACGCAAGGGAAATAAGATGCAGGTCGTTTAGATCGGATGGTTACTTTTGTTTCAGGTTTGTAGTTGTTTTGGGGTGAATATAGAACATGTTCAAGCCCAAAATTGTAGCAATAATGTTTACGTCGCTGTACGTCAAAACACTCTCGAACTTGACAACATTCACTTGCGGATTACTAAGCAAATAGGTGGAAATACCAGTTAAATCTCTAATGAAGATTGATGATACGATTGCTGACCGGAATAGCTGCATTTAGGCCACACCGACTTAATTTTATGGATGACATCCGCGCGCGCATTAGTTTTCGCCTGTTCTCAAAAAAAAAAAATCTCTGACGACGAGTCTCCACCATCGGTTTTCTGTCCGGAACTTGCCGACTCATATTGTCGCAAAGCGCCGACTTTTCGTAAAACTCGTTTTGGACTACCTCAAAACCAAACTCCGCACAGATGGATGCGCGTTACGTAAAGCGTAAAGACCTATGGGAAGGAGATTGTCTCAAAACATGCCAATTTTGTCATAAATGATCCAACATGGCGACCACACCACCAAAATACGTGAGCATAAAAGTTCAGAGGTAAAACGGAGGGATTGTTGTAGACTGGTACGCAATTGACGTTGGCCTGGGAGATGTGACGTTTACACAGCTATACGATCATGAGAGAAATGAGAGAGGAATGGAGGTGTATGGTGGCCTAAAAGTCGGTCAGACGACAAGTCAGTTCGGTTGCTTTGTCCGCATTGAAGTCGATAAAACTGCAACGCAAGCAGCGTAAGCCCCACGGCCGAAGTTCCCTTTCGGGGTGAAAAAAAGTTTCTTATTATTTTTTTTTCATTTTCTGATTCGGATAATTTGCTTGCACGCACAGTCAGTAATATTTTGATCATATGACAAATTTTCGTCAAGGTACATGTACATAATTTTCTGCATCCAAATGTTTATTGACTCTCTGTTGGTGTGTTTTTACAATATCGAGCCTCTTATAATTTGTTACATAGTAGTTCTAGAGCATTTGTGTCTACACTTAGTCTATCTGAAGTGTCACTTTAAAAGCTGTAGTTTGAATGTCAAAAAAGTTAATTTCCTGGTTGCTGTCATTGTTCATTTTTAATTAACTTTTGTTTTCAATACAACACAGTATTGTTTTTCTTTATTATTGAGTTGATGTGTATGCCTTTGGCAAAGCTAACATCTGCCTTATCCTCTTGCCTTTTCAAAATCAAAGGTGATTATACCTGTGACAGTAATACAGTACGAGATGTGATACACTGTGGTTCAATTCGTAATAACAGTTCCATAAAATTAAATCAGTGTGGCCTTAGTGTTAATTTCTATGGCCGGCCCATGGCACGGGCAACTGACATTTACTAACTTTTTTTACTATTCTGACATGTTCTGGGCTGTACATAACAGTCAGGCACCTACAAGTAAGTAGGTTGGTACTTGTAAACAGCCCGGGACATATTCAATA